TAGAATGCTTGGAGATCCTAGGATGAAAGAGGAGCTCTGAGGACTAGTTCATCCTAAAAGAAGGTTTGGAGTTTTTTAAATTCCCATTGGTACATCTTCAATATTACTGTATGTAATATGTGTTCATGATTGCATTATCTGGCCTCAATCCTGGGAGGACCTTAAAGGGTGAACATGTTATTCTCATGAGTAGCCCCATTATCTTTCACATGGGTTAAGAGGTCTACCTTCTGGGAAATTGTTGCAGGAGCAGCCCATAATTTGTACCATGACATCCTTTGATTATAAATTGTCCAATTGGTTCAAACCAGAATTTGTTATGGGGGCTGTATTCATTGGGTTTTATTCCTCCCTCTATCCCATAGCTTTATTTAGGCCTTGGGAGAATTCTAGCTGTAGTGTTTCCTTTGAAAATTGCTTGGCCTTTTTTTTGGGAAATAGTCACCATCTTAATGCTTAGGCTGGCTGTGTCCATTTATAGTATTACCGTTTCCAATAATATCCCTGCTGATCTCATGAAAGAAAAAACAGTAATGAAAAAGACATTGGGTTTGCTCCAGCTGAAGTGAACAGTAAGTTCTCTCTGACCTTTTCTCTTTTTTCCAAAATAGTTTAGGAAAAAAACATCTGTACTCAGATCTGTCCATGGGTATGTGTACATTTCAGAGCGAACAAAATACTAGAATATTTTTTTTTCCACCTCTGAAAAAGATAAAATTATTTTGAAAACAACTGTGGTCCAGTGGCTATTTAAAGGGGCACTGACAACTTAATCTAGATCTTTTTATTATGAAAATTACAGTATTTTCAGATATTAAGCTGTTTTATACCCCCTACCAATTTTTGAATTCGAGTCACTTTTACTTTTTTTTTTTAAATGATTTTGCTTTTGTTTGCTTTTGAGAGCCTTGCAGTCAATAAAGAGAACATGCTACAGCCCAGATCCTCTAAGCTTATTTAGTATACACAGACCTCAGACCTCACAAGGAGCCTCAGTGATTTCATTGCAGCTTTATGCAGGCCCAGTGGTCAAACTACAAGGATGATCTTGCAGGACTGGAGCTAAGTGAATGTCCATGGCGGCACTTTGTACACAATATAAACTGAGGGGAAAAAAGTAGATGCAAACATCAGCATAGTACTGGAGTCTTAGAATATAAGCCCTTCAGGGCAGAGACCTTTGTCGTTGGCATTCCCCTTCTTCTCTATAAAGCTTTCGACATTTTCGGATTTTGGATACAGGTAAATAGATCGCTTGTATAGCTCCAAAGAACATTCTGAACTGCAGGCTGCCTATATTTAAATTCATTCATTTTTTCTTTGTTTTTCACTGTTTCACTACTATGTGGTGCATATTTTACACTGACATAAATAGAAGGGTATTCATATCAGCTGTTATTGTTTCAGTCTTGCCATCTGAGATGTAAAAGATGTAATAGTTGCCCTACTAGTGGTTGCCAGAGATTTTTCTACTAGTTACCCCCATTGCTGCTATTTTTAGCTACGCAGGAAATGGATTTCCTTTCTCAGAACATTTTGAAGTGTTTTTTTCCAGGAAAACTCCTTGGAAACTGGGATGATGGAATCAGAGGTTTTTAAGGTTTGGGTGCCACCCCCCCCCCCCCCCC